CTCTCATATGGCACGCTTGGCGCCGCACGCGTTTGAGCTTTCTGTCTGCACTTTCCGCAACGCACACGCGCCGCCGTGCGCGCCCGCCAGCCCTTTGTGTGTCATCAAGGCTAATGTTGTACGTTCTGATTTCGAACCCCGCGCGCCGCCGCGCGCGTGTGCACCCGCGGCGCCAGCTGCGCCGCGCACGCCCGCGCCGCGTGCGCCTGCGCGCGGCAAACCCCGCCTCGCCCCGCCCGCCGCCCCTGCATGTCTCGGCGGGGCCATGGCTGTACCACTCTCTGTTTTAGTATCGACGCCCCCGCGCCGCCGCGCACAGCCGCCCACCCTGCCAAACGGCAACGTTTGGGGGCGGCGCGGCGCGGGGCCCCGGGAGGCGCGGCGGGCGCCGCGGAAGCTGCGGCGCCCGGGCGCCTGACCAAGGCTCGCCTCGCCGCCTGAGCTGCATGCAGCCGCGCGAGGGGCCGTCCCCCGCGCGGCGCCGGGCGCCGGGCGCCTCCGCGTGTGTCAGCATTTGAGGGGGCCCTGTGACAAGGGCCCCCGGAACCATTATGGTGCCCGGGGACACATCAAAGCCACATGTCGGGGGCAGTAGGAACCATCCTCTCCCCCCAGGAGGCCCTCAAAGCGTGGGAGGCGTTGCGACCGGCCTTTGCCGCTCCCATGCGCTTGCCGCAGCCCGCTGCAGCGCTCGCTTAAGTTGAATCGTGCCCCCGAACCCTCCCAGCGCATGTCTGTTTGCGTGCTGGGACGCATGGCGTCCCTCGCTCGCAGAGTTGCACTGGCCACTTGCGCATGTGCGTGTGTGTGTGTTTGCGTGTGCGCGTGTGAGTGTATTGCATCACGGTTGCATTTCCGCGCCTCTTGCAACACCTGTCAAAGTGACTCAACCTGTAATACCAACATAGCTCATTCCGACCCTAACGGTCGCTGCTGAGCGGCCGCGGCCGCCCTGGACGCGCCCTGCCGGCTCTTGGCCGGGGTTCCATCGCGCCGGCACCGCACGCGGCGGTCGGCGGCCGGGGGAATGCGCACTTGCCGCTGGCTGCGTTCCAACTAGGCAGCGCAAGAGATGCGCCCAGAATGACGACGGCTCCACAAAACGGCTCCACAACATATCTGGGAACTGCGAAGCCGTGTCGCAAGTCACCCAAGGCGCCACTAGGCAGAGCTAAAGCCAAACACCCCCCGCTCTATCCCCTTCACCGCTGCCCCCGCCATCCTCGGCCGACCGCTGCTGCCCATCCGTGCCCGCGCCGCCGCCCCCGCCCGCAACCGCCGCCGCGCGCTCGCCGCCGCCGCCGCCGCCGCCGCCTCCGGGGCCGCCCGCTGCGACCGGCTGCGACTGGTTTTGCCGAATGCTGTCCAGCGGCTCGTGCACGCCGGCGCCCCTGAGGCCCCGCAGCCGCCGGAGCTCGTCCTGAAGTGCGCACACGCGCGCCCGGTACTTTGCTGCGGGGTCGAGAGGGAACGAGGGGCAAGACGGCATGGCGGCGGGAAGGGGCGAGGAGGCGGGGCCGGGGTGATGCGGCGGCGGGCGGGGCGATTGGGTGCTGCCCTGCCTGCGCTGATGCTTTGCCGCATGAGAACAGGACTGAAAATCTCACCAATGATTACAACTGGAGGCGCCGGCCGCCAGCGGTGTAGCCGCGCCGCCGGGGTTGGGGGGAGCGTGTGTCAGGGCGGGATGTGGGTGGGTGGGGGTGCGCAAGAGGGGTGCTTGGGCGGCGCGATGGGGGGCTCCGAGTAGCGGTGGCGGAGGCCCCAGGCATTGGGGCCACCCCTGATTACATCGATAGGCCCCACCTCTCACCGTTCTCATCCACTGCGAGTTTGTAATCCGGGTCTGGCGCCGCCGCCATTGCCTCTTTTAACTCCTGGGGGTTTGGGGGGCAAGCATGCATGATGCGATCGTGGGCCTGGCCGCCTCGCCGCATGGGATGTCTGTCCTGCCAAGCAGCCATGCAGGGCGGCGACCCGCGTGGCTCGGCCCTTGGTACTGCGCGGGTGGTGCGCATGCGGCCGCGGCGGTGACGCTGCGGCCGGGGAGCGGCGGGGGGCGCGCCTTGTTGGACTTTGAGAGCATGCCGATACAGTTTTGCAGCCTATCCATCTCTGCTTCCAGCTCGCTATAGGGCTGCTGGGCCATCGTGGTCGCGCCGGGCGTTCACAGTCAGATCAAATCAACGCGAGACGTGATCAATGAGACTTGTACGGATGCGAATTACTTATTGAAACCTTACAACTGTGATTTAAGTCTTTGTATCAAGGATATCTGCTCTGTTCGTGCCGCAGCCCCGCAGCCATGCAGCTGCCCCAACAGCGCGGGCTGGCTAGCAGCCGCGCATTCGGACAGCGCCAGCTGCAAATGTCTGTGGTACGCCCTGTGTCCGCGGCAACGCGCGGTGCCACGCCGCGCCGGACGCCGCCGCCGGTGCAGGCGGTCTGCAGCGGCTACGTCAGCAGCGGATGGAGTACAGCCCTGCGGCGGCAAGTGGAGGCGCACCCGCGCCAGCGCCGCACGGCGGCGCCCAACGCGCCCAGGCGGTGAGCGCGCGCGCGCCGTGCGGCAGACCGGGGCTCTCCCTAGGCACGCCCCCGGTGTAGCCGCCGCCGCCCGTCCCCTGCCAGTCAGCCCCGCCGGCGGCGCACGCCTCTCCCCAGCCGTTCCCCGTCCCGCGCGGCGACAGCGCAGCGCCCCAGTGCGCACCGCCGCGACCCGACCTCTGCCGTGAGCGTTCCCATGCCGCCCAGCAGCCGGCCAGCGCACCGCTACTCCTCCGCTCACCCTTACCCGCCGAACCGCTCTGTGCCGCACCCCAGGGACCCCGTGCGCATGTGCGGCATTTTGGGTATCTACAAGCGCAGCGGCCAGGTCAGCGTTGAGCTTTACGAGGGCCTGCTGACGCTGCAGCACAGGGGCCAAGACAGCGCGGGTGAGGGGCACGCGCTCGCGTGCGTGCGTGCGTGCGTGTGTGTGCGTGCGTGCGTGCGAGCGTGTGGGCGTGTGTGTGGGGGTGTGTGTGTGCGTGCGTGCGTGCGTGCGTGTGCACGTGCACGTGCGTGCAGCGGGGGGACAAGCAGCGGCTTGCTGGCACCGCCGTGGGGGCAGCGCGCCGCGGCTGCCGCGCCACGGCAGGGACGCGTTCGTGGCAGCCCTGCCCCGGGCCCCCGTCCCCGCTGTCCCTCCCTCCTCCCTGTTGATTCTCAAATTACTCGTCACCCGAGTCACCCGAGTCAGCCGAGTCACGCGAGTCACCCGCGTCACCCGCCCGCCGGTCGCGTCACCCCCCAGGCATGGTGACGACGGACTGGGAGAAGTTCCGCGAGCACAAGGCCAATGGGCTGGTGAAGGACGTCTTTGACAAACAGTCCACCCTGGACAAGCTCACGGGTGAGGGATCTGGATTTTTGTGTGTGTGTGTGTGTGTGTGTGTGTGTGTGATTGTGTGTGTGTGTGTGTGTGTGTTTGGGTAAGAGTGTGTTTGTGTGTGTGTGTGTGTGTGTGTGTGTGTGTGTTTTGTGCGTGTGTTTGTCGGAGGGGCAGGGGTTTTCAAGGGGAAGCTGCTGGCAGTGGCGGGGGGTGCAG